GAAGGTAAGTCATCTTTACTGTTTACTCTGCTCTCATCTGGGTGGTAGTGGAATATGTGAATGGTGAAAATATATGCACACCTGTTGAGCCTTTTTGTTGGCCAACTGCGACTGATCCCACCCTTATCCTTGTGACTGTCTCACTTTACAGAGAACCAATATAGGTGTAGGAAACTCGTTTTTCCCTAAGTGACTAGGTTTTTGGTGGCTATGTGGTCACTGGATTGACACATGGGCTCAGACAAATGACAAAACCGTCTAACGGGAGAGGGTGGAACCAGGAACGATGCCGCTTTTGGTGGTACCTAGCTGTTAGACTGACCGCTCTGTAGCGTGAGGCCTCATCCTTAATGGCGCTGTGTTCTTTGCTGCTACCTGATTATAACATTTGAAGCAGGTGGATCAAGTAAAGACACTCTTAATGCTTTTATGACAGTAAAAATGTAATTGTCTTCCTGTTAACTTTATTAGTAGTGATCACCACCTTCCCAGGGTTCCAGGTTAAATTCGAAGGAGTGCATACTATTTTATTTACAAACTCTAATAACTTCATCTGTAAAACTTGTATTTTAAAATGCCTTTTTTAGAATGTTAAGAGACATATTCTAAAAATACACATAGGTTACATTTTATCGTGTTTATTTGCCAGTAAGCATTGCTGCTGAAGGGGCCAGTCCCATCCGTCTATGGCTGTGTGACTCTGCTTCCCCTCTTGTATTGGCAGCGGTGATCTTGAAGCTGTAGGAGTTTCTTTTGGTGCAGAGAGACTTGCCAGTCCAGCTGGAACGTCATGGTCATATAATTGCACGACCTAATACTGTTCCACTGCATGTGTATTAGATGTATTAGAAATGTCTTCCCAAGGTGGGAGCACCCTTGATTTATGTTGGTCTCTGAATTATGGCCTCCCCCCCACCCCGCAGACTTTGATATCTTGTCAAAAATACTGAGGAATAACACGCAGTAGGAAATGCATTTAAATCTCCCTGTGGAGTGCAGTGTTAGTGGTGTTTTACAACCACAGTGAATGACAGTATTGCCTGTTAGCTCTGATTTGGAGTCCCCTGATCCACTATTAAGCAATGAGTTTTTTCTCAGTGCTTTCTCTTGTAGTAACTGCATGCATAAGTGATATGGATGGCGGACGACTAGGGCTTTGGTATGAGTTTGAACAATGTGTTTAATAGCAACAGCAAACCATTTCATATGTAACATCTATTCTGTCTCTGATTGCATGCAAAGTAGTTTTTCCTTAAAATGATTTTGAGAAGGTTCAGCGTAGGAGACTGTTCTACTTGATTTAGGTAGTTCTGCAAGTTATCCCTAGACGCTTTACTAGAGTAATCAAATCTTTTGCCTACTTGATTGTCAGTTTGTGCATGGAAGAACCTACGCTCACTTGCATGCTCGTGTCCCCCCAAACCTACTGTTTCTGTTGTCTATTTGCTGCTTAGCTGTGTTATTTTCACCCAGCCTTTGAGTTAAACCGTCTGGCAAAGGGTGTGGGATTTTTAGGATTATCTTTAGGATTATGAAACCTTCAACTGTTGAGTATGTGAATGATCTAAAATATGAATGCTGTGTTTTGTGTAATAGTAACTATTGAGGTAAGATTTTCTATTACCAAACTGTTCTTTAAATACTGTAGTCGAACGCTGCTTTTCGTGAATTGGCACTCATTGCTGGCTCTAAGTGAAATTAGACAGTGGTCACCTTTCTAACTCACACAAAATCAACTTTGTTGAAATGCAGACATTTAAATGAAACAATCATTGCCACTAGAATTATTATTTAAAAAATGCAAAACAAACTTGACTTTTTTCCAAAGCTGGAACATTCTCAAAAGCAGAGGAGATGAAACATATTTTAGTGGGTCCTAGAAATAAAAATTTGTGCACGTGCCCATAAGACCTTCATACTGCTAGTGAGCAGCAAGTACTCTTACTGTGTAACAGCTGTGCTGCGTCAGGCAAGGGATGTAGCGTTTTCCTGTGACATGGGGAAAGCGTAGGAGCGCAGCAATGTGATACTTTCCTTTGGTATACTCTTCTGGTTATTGGCAGCCTTTGGTTTCGGAAACTTCTTCAGCTAGAGGTTATATCTGGAATGTAATTTAATAAGTCTTTTTGGACCTTTCTTCCATGAATTTATCTTAATTGCTTTTTGAGGCTGTTTATACTTTTGGCCAACATCCTATGTAAATGAGTTTGTCTCATTGTAGGGTGTGTAGAGGAGGGGAAAAAAGCTCCTTTTAGCGGTCTGCTCAACTGTGTTGCCGTTCTACTAATACTTGTGTAGTGAGAGGAGATAAAAGGAATATTTTTTTTCTCTTCAGCTTCTCTATGCAATTTATAATTTCTGTGGATCTTCGATACGTTGCTCCTTAGTTGTCTTTCCAAGCTGTGACGTTCTTGCTCTATTTAAAGCCTGCTTGTATAGAAGATAACTTCATTAGCTGGATCATGTGTGTCACCCTTTGTTACTCCTATTCTAGTTGTACTCTATCTCCATTCAGGTTATTTGCGTGCCAGGGATTTATATGGTGACATGAATATGTTTAAAAACTATTAGGAAGAGAATAGAGCAGAGAACCTCCTGTTTTCTTCTCTAACTGATGCTGATCTTCCAGAATGCTGCTCTTTTACCATTTTCTAATACTTGACAATATCCTTATCTATCAAATTTAAATTTTTCCACCTGTGCTTACTCTGCACGCTGTTTTGACTGCAGCACAAAACATGTAGGTCAATTGAATTGGTCAGAAATTTATTTCGTATCAAAAATTCTTCCTTCATTTTTTTCCTGTGTTCTAAATTTGAAAATAGTAATTGGCAGCATTCAGTCTTCTGGATGAAAAAGTGAAGTGAATCAGTAATTTCTTCAGAAGTAGAAAATCAGGGAAAAAAATGGCATAACAGTGTTGGGAATGTTTACAGTGAAATGAGCACTAATGGAAGTGGTCCAGCGTTACCTTCCCTGTTAGAATGTGGGAGGGAGGGTTGTCTGTCCGCTAGGGCTTGATATTTCTTTTATTTGTACCTGTGATGTCAGAGTCTAAATTTAGTTTGATATATTTTATCATTGAATATATTATTCTATTTATTCTACAATAAAGGGAAATGCTGGGAATTTTAACTAAAATTAATCTTCTAAATGCAATCTTTACTTCTAGGCATCAACAGCACATACAAACTTATAAGCAGTTTTGCCTACTGTCTGACTGTCTCCCATGACAGTCGTTATTTTTCACTCTCTAAATCCCTTAAATACCTTTGTCTCCCTAAAAGGGTGTCATTTGGTAGGCCATTACCGAAAGCCCAGCAGTGCGGTGGTAATTATCAATGGTTGTGTCTGAGCTTCCTTCGCTTCAACTGCTGTGTGTATAAGGAAGGGTGTGTTTTAGTGTTAATAAACTTATGCTTCCTGGGATGCTAGCTGTAATAAATTCTGTGCATTTGGTAAGTCTTATTTTTAGACTCAAGTCAGTTGATTTAGTGTATTTTTGGCTTCTTCAGAAGGGAATGCCAAGCAGGAGTCTTAAAAGCATGGATCTTTTGCTTCAGCAAAAGTGTGGCTTTTAGTTAAACCCTCCCGTTTTCCCTCCTTCGTGCTAAGCTTTTCCACAGTCAGAAGGAACAGCTTGAACACCTCAGTTATTGCCTTTATTTTTGAGGCTGATTGGAGCTGTGACTTGATTCACTTTTGGAAGTATTGGGAAGCAGTAAAAAGCAAGTGGAAAATGTTCATACCCACTCTTTCAGAATATAATCTTGAATCTTTGTGTTCGTAAACATATTCTCTACTTCCGTATGGACTTACTTCAAGATGATATGGAATTTGAGGAAAAATGACCCTTGGGGTACCTGGCCGTTGCTGAATTTTACATCCAGTTTAAAAGTACTAGTTATCTGTGTTTGGCCTTGTAAGATGAAAAGTTACAGATTTTCCCTTTGTTTCCTATGGGAGAAATCTGCAAGTGTTTTGAACATGTTTCCAGAAAAGAGCTCCGTTCCTCTGGCAGCTTGTACTGCCCATTAATTGCTAGTCAGAATGGGGCAAGGATTAACAAATTCCCATTGTGGCAGCTGAAAAGCAACATAACCAGTAACTGTGAAAAGAGAGATTGGTGATACGTGACATCTGAATTTGGTGATTTCTGTTTCTTCTTGTCCTTCTGACATCTGCTTCAGGCATTTATAGAACTGTTGTGCAAAGATGGAGAAACGTTAAGTCTGGATTCGCTTTACTCAGGATCTTGCTCAGTCACAAATATTTTTGACTGCCAAGAGCTGGGCCAGAAGAAACATTGGTTATGCTGGTTTTGATGTAAATCTTGCTTCTTCTCGTTATCTCTTATGTATCTCAAAGTTGGTCTCTTCTGCGTGTTCTGATTTTGATGGGAGTTTCTGCTTTGGATATACATTGGACACTACTAACCCATTTCCAATTTTTGATCATTCGGTGTTTAAAACTATCCTTCTGTGTGTGTCTAGATATACCTCTGTTTTGTCCCAGATCAGGCCCTGAATGTGATTTAGTGGCAACCATTTCTTTATCTGAAACAGTCCAAAGACGCCATTGATGGCTTTGTGCTCCCCATGGTTAACGTTATGGCAGTTAATGCATTTGCGTAGAGTCTAAGTTGGGTTTCCAAGGAGCACTAACCAGCAGATAAGTGACTATTCTGGGACTGAAGCCGGCGCTACGCCCTTTATTGAAATCCTGTTCTGTGGTTTTCTCCAAACAAATGATGAAACTTTCCTTAACAACAGTCTCTAGAGATCCTTAGTATCTCCAGTGGAAACAGTAAAAGGCAGAGCGACGGCATAGGGAAATACAGTTTGATGTCCAAGCACCAGTTTATCTTAATGGGAATTATGTGATCTTGACATCTTTCGTTTGAGAAGCTCTTAAGGGAACACAGTGGCAGCAGGGTGGTTAAGAGTTAAAATCAACTGCAGGGCTGCAAGGCAGAAAAGCTAGAGGTTGAACGGGAGGAGATGGCTTTAGAGCCGGGAGCCGAAGCAGGTGAGAGGTCGGAGCTGGCGTGTGTGGGCTGGAGGGCTGTGGCACACTCGGCTGGCCCAGAAGGACAGTCCACTTAACCCTTTCTTTTAATAAATGCTGCTTCTCACCAGCGAGAAGCAGCCTCACCATTTACATATCCAGAAATAGCAATGTTCCTTCAAGTCTCTGTTACTGTGCTGTTTTGGAAAAACCTAATGTTTAAGTTCCCTCTGGAGTCGGGGGGGTGACACTGATTTTGAATTCCACCCGGGATGGTAAAGTCATGAGATGTAGTGCAGACATGTGCAATTCAGAGGGATAACCTTGTAAGTTGTTGCTGGGTTTTTTTCCTCATGTTTGTATTTGTTGACGCCATTCAAATAAAGGAGACCTACGGATTTGTACTGATAAAGGGCTAGAGTCTGTAACTGGATGTGAAGGCAGGCTTTTGGTCAGTCCAGAAAAGCACAGAGTACTGAATAGTTCTGTCTGGTGTTTAATTCACTTCAGTTTGTAGATGTTTGATATTAGTCTTTTCATGGTATCATGGAAATATATTCTGTGCATCCTTGCAGAAGGAAAGTAATAATCATTGGCAAATCATAAATATTTGCGTTTTGGGGAAACTGCATTTTAGGAACATACTTGCACGTTTGATGGCTTAAAATATACCCCCAAAATTAGTCCCATGATCCTGAGGTTCAGGTGAATAGCTGTGGAAAAGAACTTCAATTCTATTTTTAATTGTTTTCATAAACTGTTAAAAGCAAAAGATCAACAAGTGAGAGAAGTAGTTCAATGCAACCTGTGGATTTCACTTGTGAATTAGGTGCTGCTTGAGATGCTAAGCTGCCATTAACAGATGTACCCATTATTAAGATGGTGCTTACTGTTGAGAGATAACTACTGCCTAGCTGAAACTGTTCAGCATAGGAGGTAACCGTTTAACTGAAGATGTTTCAACAGAAGATGCTATTTATAGCAAATTTTCAACCCTGCAAACTTGTATAGCTTTGTTTTCATAAACTGTGGTTTGTGGAGTCCAGGTAGATCGTGTCAAAAATCATTCTTTACAGCAAGATGCTTCTAGGATCTTAGTTTGGTGTTGCGAACTTTTTTACCTAAAGGCTTAACTAATTGACAGATGCATATTGCACTGAAAGTTAGCAACTTTCCTCAATTCTGGATGCTCAGACAGATCCCACAAATTGTTTACTTAATTTCACCAGAGTATACTGTATGTTCTTTCAACAGTGTTTTTTAATGGTTTTTTGGTCTTCTAATGCTTGAGAAAGCTAGCATATCATTACTGATATCTAAAATCCAAACACAAATTAAAATGTAGAAATGTATCTTGCACAGTTTCAGACGTGGGGTTACGTTAAAACCGCAGCTATGAGCGTAGGGTCGTATGTTAGTTCCCCGACACTTTTCTTACATATTTGATGTTTACCTTTATTTTAATTTGTTTGTTAAAGTCTTTGTTTTGGTGCCAATATTTTTTTTCCACCAGAAATACATTGTGGCTAGGTTCCTTACACAAGTCAGCTCTTTCTATGTTATTTTTAGTGAAGGTGCTCAATAAATATGAGCCTCTGCTGAGTTCAGTCTCATCAGACTAGTGCCAACAAATGAGTTTCAAGTACCTCTGAGTCCTTATTTTGTTTTACATTTTAATCTTTTTAACACTGACTTTCTTACCCAAATCATTCTTTAGGGCTGCAGGGTTCTGGTTGATGCACGAGATAAACTGGGGATCCCTTGGCAGTACACTGAGAATGAGAAGCATGGTATGTTTCTGATGGCTTTTGAGAACAAAGCTGGAATGCCCGTCGAGCCTGCCACCTTCCAGTTGTATGTACCCGCACTGAGCGCGCTGTGGAGGGACTCGGGAATCAAGGAAGCCTTTAGCCGCCGGAGCGAGTATCAGCTGGTGAGTACATCCATCTTTACTGTGAATGAAGTAGTGTGGGGTTTTGTTTGTTTGTTTTTTAAAGTCTCCCTCAATATAAATATCTCTTCAGTTGAAAGACAGCTTACTACATACAACATTTAGGCATCATATGAGCAGCAGTAATGCTGCTGAGTTGTGCTAATGCTGTAAATCTGAACACTTCAGCAGCAGAAACAAGGGGTAATCAGAGCCAAACTTGAAAAACTACATGGCAGTAAAAGGGAGTGGAAAAGTGCACAACTGGATAAACTGGAAGAGCAAGGGGAACCAAAAAAGGCAGGAATTGGTTGAACTAAAAATATTTTAGCAGCTCAGTGGGTCTGTTCATAGTAGGTCACTGATGAAGGCACACTTAATTTGTAACTTTCCAGTCCTGCCAGCTTGCACTATATTGATACTGGCAAACTATTCCTGCATGCAGATCTTTTGAAGTGAATGCAACACCCATTCAGGCTGCTGCTATTGGACTGTTCCTTTTCATCCTGACATCTGCAAGTGAAATTTGGATAAGCAACTGAAAGATGACAGTGCGGTTAAAGTAAAATTGTGCCGTCTTCCTTGCTTTCTTGCTATTAGGTTTTCAGGCTCTAGCGCCAAAAAATTGTGTTTCTGGTATGGAATATGTTTCTGACAGCTGTTCGTAACCTATTCTTTCTTTTTTTTTCTTCCTCTAAACAAGGAGATGTGGTGGTTTGGGTTTTTTGGGTTTTTTTGGTAATAGCACTTTGCTAGGTAACCAAGACTCAGGAATACCCTGAACAAAATATAATTTATGAAGCATCCAAATTGTGGTCATTACTCCAGAGTAAAAATATTTACTAAGCAGTTTTGTCTTTTGTGTGTCTTGTATTATTCTGAATTTACTAGATGAGCAAATTTTTCAATGAAAAGAAAGATTGTGACATTGCCTAAAGCCTTTTAAAGGATAAAAGTTGTGTTCGTTGCCTAACTCGCATCATTAAAATACTCAAAGAAGGAAGCTTACTGTTTTGTGGTTGAGACTGAGTTTATATTTTTAGGATGTCTAACAAAGTGAACCCAACAGTAGTGGAGGTGGGGCCTCTCCACTTTTATGAAAGGATCAATGTCATCTTTTTAAAAGAACTGGGATGGAGGGGAGGCTTGTCCAAAATACATTCTTCCTTTTCCAGTTTTCTTAAGCAATCATAGCAGTGCTGCGTGAATCATTAGAAACAAACTGCTGCACTTCAGGATTTAAAACTTGGATTGTAATCAACTGTCTCTTCTACTCAGCCAGGTTTTTTGATTCTGTAGATTGGGATTAGTTTGTGTACTTTTAAGGCCTGGAATAGGGGACTGATACTTAGTGTGGGTGAAAGTCTATGTTTATCAGTTCACAGTAAAGAAGGAAATCAACAGTCTAAAGTAATCTTAGTTTCCATACACCTCAAATTGAAGATTCAAGAAGAGCAAGTAGTTAAACATAATATTGAGGGTTATGCAGCACCATCGCGTACCTATGCTCTGTAGTGTTATTTCTTTTGTTTGTTTTTTCTTTTCCTAAGTTAACACTAGGTTGCTTCTCTTCCAAACATGTCCTTAATTAATAGTGGCACTTAAAGACTTGTTTAGCAACTTTAAAAGGAAACCTTGTCTGTTTTCCTCTGAAGGAGTTGCACTGAGTTTTATGTTCAGAAATGCAAGAATATCCTTTACATTGTCCATCTCACGTGATCTTGGGAAAGTTTCTGAAAACTAGTTGCGTAAACAGTGTAATTCAATCACGTTTCATGTCAAAAAGTTTACAGCAGAAATGACAGTATTCTTCCTGTCACCTTTTTGGATTTAAAAGGAACAGCTGGAATTGATGGGATAGCTACAAATAACATTAAAATGAGCTTTCCTGTTTATCTCCGTTTCCTAGCAGTAAGGATTTATCCCCTATCAAGGCTTCATTATTTGATCTCTACGGTTGCAGTATTGTACTTTTTCTGGAGTTCTTAACCCTGAGAGTAAAATTGTGCTGCTACTTAAATGTTTAAAATTCCTACATTTAGAATAACTGTTTAAAAAATGACTGAAGAAAAGTGATTTGGGTTGATTAGGTTTTTTTGTTTTGTTTTTACTCCTGAGAGTAGCTATATTCTTCCATAATGTGTGGTAATGTTGAAGGAACCATTACCTCCAATTACCAAACAAATGGATTGGTTGTTTCTTTCCTCTGTGTTCAGTGGAACAAGGTACTTATCAGTGCTACTTAGAATCACTTTTACTCATTCGTGGGAAGTGATATGGGATGATTTCTTAATTGTCCTATTTCAACTTACTTCTATGATTTTAAGTTATTAACTATTCTTTAAGTTGCAGGTACAATTCTTTGTTTTCTGTGTTCTGTCCTCAAGCTGAATGCAGTTCCCCCCCCCCCCCAAAAAAAAATAAAAGCGCTTGTTAAAGTTTCCAGGCCTGAAGAGTTTTACCTTTGAGCATTTAATTGAATGTTATGTTAGAAACATGACTTTCTGTAGTCCCCCTTAGATTCTTGCTAGATATAGCTGTAGGAGAAACAGGAAAGAAGTCAGCAGTGTAGTTCTTGGGGCCGGTTTCCTCATGTCGTAGCTCTGTGTGCATTCTCTAGTGTCTAATACTGTAGTGAAAGTCACATTGCAACCCTTAGCTACTCATCTTTCTCCACTACTAAGATGCCTATTTGAGTCTTGCTGCAGAATATCTTTGAAATCCTTCTCTGAGTTATGTTGAGACTGGCAAATGGCTAAAGAATGAATAAAATGACTTGGTAAAATTGTCAGAGGATGGTTGCCTAAACCTCATTTTCTTAGACTAACAGGTTAAAAGTCTAACAACTTACCTGCTACAGCACTGGGGACTGGGGGGGAGGGTGTGCAGGGAAGAGAAGAGAGATTTGTTTCATAATTTCTAGCACAATTTTTTTAGCCACAGAGTAAGACTTTACCATTCTAAGCATTGTTCTATGCAGAACAAAAGCATGGTTCCTGCCGTACGGAACTTGAATTTAACATGAAACAATTACTAAGAATTCAATATAATAAGCAATGGTAGCTGCATCAGCAGCATGTTAAGAGTTTTATTTTTCTGAGAAACACCATGTTCAAGAAAAGGTTTGTGTGTGTGTTTTTTTTTTTTTAAAGGAGAGATTCAGATTAGGATCGTGTGGGAGGTTCTTCCCCATACTGGTTAGCAATAAAATTGCATAAAACTGGAAAAAAGTCCAGTTTGAATAAATAGCATTCCAAATCTAGTAAGCCTACCTCTGCATTCTCTGGCTTTGAGTGCATGATTTAAACAGGAAATACCAAAATATAATAAAAAAACACATCCAAACCCCACAAAAGCCAGGCATACAGGCAGGCAAGTGATTCATGTAATACCCTATCATCTCCAACATCATGGTGTTGTTCTATCATGCTTCTCTTTGACTGGCATTCATATAACCTGTTTAATGTTACTGGGGGAATTGAAACTACTGCAGGCCCCAGAGCTGTCAACATGTGGTGCACTACGTTGCTACACTACTATTGACCCCCCCCCCCCCCATAAAAAAAAAAAAAAATAAAAACTTTTTGTAACTCAGTCCTCCTGTTGCATGAATCTGTGGCAGCTACAACTTGGAGTTCCTGGGTTCTGTTGTTACCATGCAGGCTGTGTCATCAGGAGATGATGAAAATACCTCGGTTGTGAATAAAAAGCACTCTATTGCGTAAACATTTCATAAATTTAATAGACTATTTTCAAGGATGCAAATGTTAACTTTGGCCTGATGGCTAAACAAATTCTTCGTCTTAATAACTGGAACATGTTTCCGTGCTTCACTTCTAGATTCAGCAAAACTCTGATTCCCTAAGTAGGTGGTGATTAGAAGCAGTGCAAATTCTATTTAAAAAAAAAAATTAAATTGCATAACTTTGTACAGAAAGTTCAAGGAGTTGTCCTATTTATAATTGCATATAATGTGTATGCACCCATATCTTCAGTTTATCGTTTAGTTGAAGTGCTTTGTGCATACAGACTGGTATAAATTAATAGAAGGCAGGCATGCTGGACTCTGAGAAATAAGTCTTTACTGAACTGATTTAGTTGAGGCTAAAGAAAATTACTGTATCTGCAATCTTTTTCTAATTTTGTGTAAGTGAGCTATTAAATATACCTAATGCAAACTGAATTTGTTATCCTTACACTAGTCTTAAAATCATTACCTAACATTTGAAGCTTTACATTGGTATGGTTTTCTGAACGTTTCTGGACAGTTTTGAAGTTAAGGTCGTGCTCCACACTCAGATTTTCTTCATGCTGGTCTTACAGTTAACACTAACACTTTACTTAAAATCATTATTCCTATTTTGACTCCAGTAGTAACTTTCTATAGTCAGCACTGTCCTGACTTATAAGGGTTATATTGTTCTGCTTTTGAACTGTCTGTATTTCTTCAGGAAGTTGTGTGACCTGGTAAAAATAAATAAAGCAAGCATGTTGTGTTGGTTGGTTAACTACAGCTGAAAATTGCAGTGTACAGGTGTCTTCGTATGGTCTGCAATGCTAAATTTAATGACTGACTCAGCAGTAGAAAGCCTGTTGAAAGAAAATGGTTCTGACTATAACCTCATACAATCGGAAAGCTTTTTCTCCGGGACTGCAGAAGCTGCCTGTAGGCATTTGAGTGTTTTCTGCTTCATATGCAGTGCCTAGAAGGGCTGGCTGCAAATCCCTGTCTGGGGCTTTGAGCCTTTCAGAAATGAGTGGGTGGATTCTGCAATGGCAGGGTGGTGGGGGTGTTTTGTTTTTGTTTCACTGTCTGTCTTAAAGCAGACTAACCAGGACAAAAGCTTCATTGTGTGATTGGTTACATTGTCAAGTCTCTGTCCTTGTTTTTAACGATCAGAATAGGAATTCCTTTGTAAAGGAAAAAAAAAAAGTATGTGATTCTTCTCTCCTCTCCCTTACCCTCATTATCGTCTCCCATTTTTCTGCCCGTCTGTTAGAAA